CACATCGTCTCTCGCGTGACCGGAATTGCGGTCAAGCGCTAAACAACCTTATGTTAAAAACAAATTGGATGTTATGCTGCATAAGCTGCAGCTGCTGCAGAGGGCCGCCTGAAGGGTGTTCGTCCGAAGGACCTTAATATTACAGCTATTTAATATTTTGAACGTCTCTCACGTCTAGCAATTTTCCTAAACTTTCTGCTTCAAGCTCTTAACTTTTTATTCTAATTCGTGCACGTAAAGAACCCTTAACATTTTGTGTGACATTGGATATATATATATATGGCTAGGCACTTGCTAATAGTTTTCCTCAGATAAGGATTAAATATATAACTGACTCAAAAAAAGCCGAAAATGTATCCATCTAACTTTTTGTGGGCCTTGAAGGCCCTTTCGCATTCCGCATTTTTCACAATTGCACTTACAAAACCTTCTAAAAAAACATCTTTGGAAACGCCGATAGGGAACAAGAGGGATATTTTATCCAGTGTTATTCGTTTCGTAATATTGGTTGGCCGTAATTTGAATGTCATGTTCTTTGGGAATTAGGTGAGGGTTGCATGCATTTCATATTTAAGTTGGATTTATACGTAAATTATGCCTCTGGTTGAAGGGTATTTAGGACACTCAAAAAGTCCGATAGTGTTGCTTTCTTGCGTATAAAATGAGTGCCCTGGTAGAGGTGCAGAATGGACTGAAAATTCTTTATACAAATATATTTCATAGAAGAACATATTTTTTAGAAGGAAAATGAGTATAATGACCGCCATTTCTCACCGAAAACTAATTATATTCCAGTAACAACGCATCTAAGTCTAAATAGATAAACAAAAAGCGAGAAATGGAGGTTAGATAAAGCCTTGTCGTTAGAGATGAGCACTAAAATAGTATAAACACCGATTTCTAAGTTCGATAGCACAGCCTGTACAACTATTTCTTTCTGTTGGAAAGAAAGCATTGAAAAACCAAACAACTATAGTTCATGTTTTGCTCACCGGAATAAATTTCTTGGTTTGTTGACGTTCGGACAGCTGGGCCGGCTTTTTTTTGTTGAAGCGTATACTGACTTTATCGATCAGCAAATGTGAAGTTATGGGTGTAAGTGTTGGCCTTTGGGTGATTGATTTTTCTCCGCTGCCCGCTTGGTCCTCCGTGTGGATTTTTTCATAGCTTGACGGCAGTTGGTGTTCTGTTTCGTCCCTACGGTAAAGGAAACTGGTAATCCTGCTACCTCTTCCGGTGGTTTCTTCACAGGGCCGTCTTCGTCTGAAAATACTAATTTTGGTTTGACCATACCCTTTCGTTTACTTACGTAATGACTAAGGACTGTGTAGACCGCGAGCAGGTACAGATGCCCGTTGACAGACTTAGTGTCTGATTACCATGCCTCAAGCGTCAGTTTTTCCATTTTTGAGGCTCCTCGGATTACGAAGGTCGCTCCTTGAATATCGAATTTGTGGCCAGTCTCTCCGATATGTGTTGAAGCCGCGACTTTGGGTCTATTTTCTGGGCTGCCGCTTTTTGTTCCTGTAGGCGGGTCTGCAATTTCCACCTGGTTTATCCAACGTTATTGCAGTCTCCATCGTTGCAAGTATTTTGTATAAATCTGCGAAGGTTTCAGTAGGGGGAGTCTGTCTTTAGGTTGCATCACTCGGTGGCGTATATGGCGCAAGCTAAAGGTAAATCCTTTGTAACACAATTGTTGTTTTTCGGCTCAAATATCCAGACCGAATTTCGGAGAAGTACAATCGTCGATTGCGAAGTAAATATGTATGAACCAGAGTAAAGTCTGTAGCGAGACCTTATTTTCTAATGTTTGCAGTCGTGCATCGGCCCTTACGACCGTAGGTTAAAAGCATATGTATTAAGCGTGATTTCGTTAATCCATCTTAAGATATCGTAAAGGCACCTACGCCTTTCAAATAGTCCATTCTAAACACTAGACGTGCTTGCTATAGAGAAATTTGACTTTTTCCGCCTTTTGCTTGGTTAACTTGCATGGTGATGAGATGATGACATAAAAACTAAAGTCGAGGACTGCATATGCTCCTTTATGATTTATGCCTTCCAAACAACAGACTTATTATCTGTGCTGAGTTTTGTCTTAATCGGGTAACTTAAAAAATGCAATAGTATGCTTGCCGCATTCTGGACCTTTGCCTACGACCACTCCAAGATTATATATACTGGTATTTTCTCTTTTCAGACAGTAATTTAAGGACGTTATCTAAATATGGGGGAGCAGGAGGTTACAAAATCCCTAGAAAAAAGAGGACTATTAGATGAACTTCAATTTCACCTATGTAAAAATGATTATTCTCTTTTGTGTATGCGTAAAACAAAATATAATTTTAAAGTAAACAGTTTTTTGGGTCATAAACAACAAATTGTAGTTTGAAAAATGCGATGCTTAGGTTGCGGTTGTTTCCATTTATGTAGATAATTGCCTGTGCTTTTCGCCAGTTTGCAGTAGTCGAAAAGGTGTTGACAGAGTCATTCAAAAGTCTGCTTTCCTTTACTTCAAAGTGCACAATACCGGAGGTAACTACATATTTCGTTATGTGCTTTGGCGCAATAGATGGGCAAAGCACGACAAGAATTTAATTTTAAGTCTCATACTTTATTGACTGGTAGTTCGAAAACAATTAATAAAATGAAATGGAATCTCAACTTATTTGCTGTACGATAACTAGTCCTAAAAACCTATGATATATTTTATTCTGTCTTATTTAACAAAAGTGCAATAAAATTAAATGCTCCTATAAAATATCCTCCAAAACACACATTACCACAAACGTGTGGAATTAAAATATGTCAATATTTAAACAACACGGGCTGTAGACAAGTGCTATTTGTTATTGATTGGTACTGGGACCTGGAAGCACCTTTTTCAGAGGCTTGAATCTTAAAGACATTTACCAAATGACATATATTCGCATTGACACAAGCACAGATATACATTTTCGTTTACAAATATCCGGCCCAAAGCCGCTTATTTTCATAAACGAAATTTCTTGAGACAGCGGAGTAAACAAACTATGCTGACCGAAAATTCAAACAGTTCGGCTTACTTCCCAGCGCTGCGTTTATTATAATACACGCAATTTTGTTTGTAGCGGGATAATTATTTCGGGTCATTTTAGCAAAACAGACTGGAGAAGATCTAGCACATGCACAGTTAATTAAAAACTCCTGAGAATACAATACATTATACTAATTCCCTGCGTTAATATACCCTACCAGCACATGCCCAAAACTGGGTGACGAAGGGGGGGGGAGATGCGGGTGAAGCTGGGGTTGGTGTTTAAGGCATGTGTATTATTTCGCAACTGGAAATTTCCATAATGCTGAAGACGGATCTAAAAGGCAATCTTACTCATTTTTGACTATCTTTGCAATTATAGTACGTTTTTAGGTGACATTTAATATCATTTTTACGGATAATTTAATGCTATGCATACCCTCCCCCGGAATTTTGACAGGGAGATCCGGGGGTAACAACGGGGGTGAGCACGAGGATATGCGGGTTGAAAAC